CACTAGCGTTCTATTCTATTTCTATTCTTTTGACTTGCTTTCTTTTTATTTATTAAAAAATTGACCCTCTAACACTTTCGCTCTCTATTCTATTTCTATTCTTTCGGCTTGTTTTCTTTTTATAAAAAAAATTGACTCTCTGGCACTAGCGTTCTATTCTATTTCTATTATTTCAACTTGTTTTCTTTTCATAAAAAAATGTATCCTCTAACACTAGCATTCTCTATTCTATTTCTATTCTTTTGACTTGTTTTCTTTTTGTTTATTTAAAAAAAATTACCCTCTAATCCTAGTGTTCTCTATTCTATTTCTATTCTAACTGCTTTTCTTTATATAAAATAATTGACCCTCTGACACTAGCATTCTATTCTATTTCTATTCTTTTGACTTGCTTTCTTTTTATTTATTTAAAAATTGACCCTCTAACACTTTCGCTCTCTATTCTATTTCTATTCTTTCGGCTTGTTTTCTTTTTATAAAAAAAATTGGCCCTCTGACACTAGCGTTCTATTCTATTTCTATTATTTCGACTTGTTTTCTTTTCATAAAAAAATTGATCCTCTAACACTTTCGCTCTCTATTCTATTTCTATTCTTTTGACTTGCTTTCTATTTATAAAAAAATTTGATCCTCTAACACTAGCGTTCTCTATTCTATTTCTATTCTTTTGACTTTCTTTCTTTTTATAAAAAAAATTGACTCTCTGGCACTAGCGTTCTATTCTATTTCTATTCTTTCAACTTGTTTTCTTTTCATAAAAAAATTTATCCTCTAACACTAGCATTCTCTATTCTATTTCTATTCTTTTGACTTGTTTTCTTTTTGTTTATTTAAAAAAAATTACCCTCTAATACTAGTGTTCTCTATTCTATTTCTATTCTAACTGCTTTTCTTTATATAAAATAATTGACCCTCTGACACTAGCCTTCTATTCTATTTCTATTCTTTCGACTTGTTTTTTAATAAAAAAATTGACCCTCTAACACTAGCGTTCTCTATTCTATTTCTATTCTTTTGACTTG